TTTGAGTTTGAACTGACTTATACCTAACCCTCCAGAAGATTTTCAGAAACTGTATGTAAATTGCAGAGTTTTCTCATCTTTCTCTGAAGGAGCTGCTGATATGTAGACATCTTAAAAGCCGTTACATCAAGAACTGCCCCTTCAGGTTCCCAAGGCTAGAAATCTTTCCTGAAACTATGCAACAACTAGTGGGTTTGAACCATCAAGTTTTTGGTTAACAGCTAGCCACTTTAACCACTAAACCACTAGAGTTCTAAGAATTGTACAAAATAGGGCAGAGTTCAGGTCAGCTGTTTCTAGGGTCGCTATGAGTCATACTGACTCCAAGGCACCTAACAACAACAAAAACAACAACTTAACATGAAAAAGGACTAGTTGTTCAAGGTATGTATGACTCTCCTCCAGTTCCTTTTGAAAATCTGTATCAATTTGTTATCTAGTAAGGGAGCAAAGTGCTCATTTTTTCTACACTGATTTTAACTTTTTGAAGCTATAGGAGTGAAGAAGTCAGAAAGCCTTCTTTGTGTCCTTTTTGTTCATTTGTTCACCCAACATTTATAGACTTCAAGGTTGAATTTCAGCTTCCCTCCTTGGAAAGAGATTATTCTGATAAAGTTTCTGTACACAGTAACATTAAATAGGGGGGAAAATTAGTTACACCATTTTGATAGCATAGAGAAACAGTGTTTACCAGAGCAAACATTATGCAGACAAACGAGAAATGTAAATGAATCTGAAAAGATGCCACAGTTCATCTCTGGATAAATTACAGTTCTATCTCATTTCTTACATTATTCTCTAATTTAGATTGTTGAGTTTCTAGAGAAAATGTAAATCCCAAATTATGGCAAAAAGTTGATAAAGCCAAAAATACCCTCAGTGTCCTTGAAAAAAAATTTTTTTTCCGTGGCCACAATGTTGAAGTCAACCTGAGAAGCATCGCAAAACTGGTCTCCTGAGGGATTCTTCTTAAAGTGCATTGGGCTAGTTACCTCTCAAAATAGAGCACTCGAACTTTGCTGTTGACAGAATTGTTGTTTTAATTAGAACCAATTACTTTCACAGTCTTACTTCTGCCAGCTCTCACTTTACTTGCCAACTACTAATTGTGTTGTTTCCTTGTTTATGTTTTTAACACCAATAGCTAGTTTTTTGTGTATAGAGCCACTTTGGGATGCTAGGTTTCTCAGATGAAACCATGCAGTCCATTCCCCGCCCCCAGTAAATAAATAGTGGAAGACAACTTTAAGTCCTTAAAGGCTCTTCTCTGAGTATCTCTAAATCATATAAATTACATAATGCATTTCTAAAATGGAACAATTATATATTGTTCAATTAGTAGATTTTTTTTCTGGTGTTACTGAACTGCCAACCTAAAGTTACACAGTTCAAATCCACCATCTGTGCTGCAGGAGAAAGATGAGCAATCCCCCAACTGATGATATATTGCTCCTGAAAATGCACTGGAGTGTCAGCTGTGAGTACATAACACCATCAGTAACATGGCCCAAATAACTTGTTCAGTATTTAAAATTCATTTCAGAGACACTTTATTCTAACATCTTCAGTCTAATCAGTGAAATACATACACACACACACATATATAAATATTTTTATATATATTTGTTGTTGTTTACCATACATGATAGACGATAAAGAGATTGAGATTGTTAACAGCTGTAGTTTCCTTGGCTCCACAATCAACATTCTTGGTCCAGCAGCCAGGAAATTAAAAGAGATGAATGATGAATTGCACTGGGCAAGTCTGCTGTCAGAGACCTCTCCAAAGTCCTGAAGAGCAACGATGTCAGTCTGGAGACTAAGGTGCACCTGATTCAAGCCATGGTCTTTGCAATGATTTGCTATGTACCAGAAAGTTGGACAATGACTAGGGATGATAGAAGGAGAATTGATGCCTTTGAGCTGTGGTGCTGGAGAAGAATATTGAACATTCTAGGCAAACAAAATAGTTCATTCTGTTGTTGTTGATTGCCTTCAAGTCAAGCATGACTCATTTCGACCCTGTGAACAAAAGGCCTGAAGCCCCTCTGCCACTATCAACATTTATCAAAGTTCATAGAGTTTCTGGAGGCATGTTGTTTAGGAAGTGGATGCCACTCCTGCTTCCAAATCTGTCATAACATGTTATTGTTGTTATGTGTCACCTGCGATGTATAGTGACCCTATGTACAGCAGCTCTGAACCGTTCCTTGTCCTGAGCCAGTCTCACTAATTCCGACACCCCAACCCCTATTGCCCCAGTTACTGTATCAATCCATCTCATCTGGGGTCATTCTCTCCTGCGCTCTCCTTCCACTCTTCTGAACATGATGTCCTTCTCTAAGGACTGATCTCTCCTGCCCATGTGCCCAAAGTAAGTGAGGTTTAGCTTCAAAATACTTGCCTCCAAGGAGAGACTTGGTTTCACCCGCTTCAAGACAGACCTATTTTTTTTTCTTGGAAGTCCATGGTATGTTCTTTCCTCCAGCACCACAACTCAAAAGCATCTGTCCTTCTGTCATCCTTAGTCATTGTCCAACTTTCTGAAGCATAACAAGTAATTGGGAAGACCATGGCCTGGATTAGGTGCACCTTTGTATCTAGACTGACATCGTTGCTCTTCAGCACTCTGGATATGTCCATGAAAACAGATTTTCCTAGTATAATTTGTCTTTTGATTTCCTGACTGTTGGTATTAAGAGTTGATTGTGGATCTGAGCAAGCTGTAATTGCTAACAAGCTCAATCTCTTCACCATCTATTATGGTACTGCCAATTGGCCCAACGGTGAGAAACTTTGTCTTCTTGATATTGAGCTTTAATGTATATAGAAGACTACAGTCCTTGACCTTTTGCAGCGAGTCCTTCAGATCTTCTTCAGTTTCAGCAAGCAAGGTTGTGTCAACAGCATATAGTAGGTTGTTAATGAATCTTCCTCCATCTTGATGCCACACTCCTCATCATAAAGCTCTGCTTCCCTGAATGATCCTTTCTGCATACAGACTGAAACGGTATGTGGACTGGATATGTCCCTGATTCACTCCTTCTTGATTTTGAGCCATGCGGTGTTTCCTTGCTCTATTCCAAGGACTGCTTCTTGGTACAAGTATAGTTTTCATATAAGCAGGATCAAGTGTTCTAAGATTCCTAATTTCCTCAAGGTTAGCCACAATTTATTGTGATCCACACAGTCACATGCCTTTGTATAGTCAATGAAACACAGATAGACATTCTTCTGGTACTCTCTGCTTTCTGCCACGATCCATCTGACATTGGCAATAATGTCCCTAGTGCCATGATCTCTTCTAAACCTAGCTTGTATTTTTAGTAGTTCTCTGTCAATGTTCAAGTTTTTTCTGGATAATTATTAGCAGGATTTTGCTAGTGAGTGTTATTAGTGGTGTTGTTCGATAATTTCCATGCTCTGTCAGG